TATTTAGGGTTTTGAGGTGTGATCAAATCGAAAATGCTATCCATTTCTTTCCTAAAAAAATGCCTAATAGGTATGTTTTTTAATTTTTGAGGTCTTTTATTAATGACAGTAGGCCGTAGAAAAGATCATAAGTCAAAAAATATAATATCAAAAAGTAGGCCTATTTGAGTACTATCACATAAAAGAAAGAATTTTGGAAGTCGGCCAACGTCATCCTAAATACGTAGGTGTTCAGAGTTTAAGTGAAACACACTGTACATAGAAATTAAGCCGATTCAAATAAATTTTAAAAAGTTTTCCTAAAAAACCTACAAAATGAAGTGAAATAATGTTCTTCCATAATAAAAATGGAGGCTTTCAAACGATATTTGGCCTCATATACAAGATTCTTAACTGTTGATATTGCAGGAAACAATGCCTCTATGGGCTACCTGCCACAACTGGCACTGAATTATACGAGCAATATTTAGTAAATAATAATAACTGTCTAAATTAAAAATTATAATATATAACTGACCCCCATTTTCAGGAGTTTAAAGTTAAAAAATTTAAAAGGAAAATGGATGGGAAGAGATGGCCGAATGATACCGAGTCCCCAACCAGCCTTCTATTCTCCTCATATCGAATTGTCGGGGATCTCTAAGGAGCCTATTAGAAAATCACAGAGAGCCTCGATCTTCCTACTCCTTAGAGAGATAAGGTAAAAGAATGAGAATAAATAACCAAACGGTACTGAATCTACCTCTTCCTTGGATCGAAGTGTCGGGATCTCTAAGAAACCTGTTAAAGAATCTCTGAGAGATCCTCGATCTGATTACTCCTTAGAAAAGGTGAAAGCTTAAGGTAAAAGGATGAGAAAGAATAATGGAAAGGTACCGAGGCTTTAATCTGCCTACTCGTTGAATCCAACTCTCGGGGATCTCTAAGGAACCTGTTAGAGAGTCCTTGAGAACCTTAATCTACCTACTTCTTAGAGAGGGTAAAAGGTGAAGGGAAAATGGAAATAAAATAGACAAAAATATATCTAACGAAAATAAATAGTATATGTATACATAATTGACCACTAAAAAATATCATTTCATATATTTAGAAAACAGTTATCCACCAAATTTTTACTAAATACACATTATAAAATAATAGCAGTATGTAATGATATTTTTTTCGAATTGTCAATTTTTTGCAGTTTAAATTTCTGTAATGTCTACCAAGGGAAAAAAAATAAGTACAAAACAAATTTTTAGTGCTCTCTAGTGGCGCATAATGAAACTTTTCTCTGACTGGTCCAATAGAGCTTCGTCTACTTAGTAGGTGTGCCAAATGAGAGACTAATTAATTGAATTAAATAAGTTAGTTAAATAGAAAAATAAAAAAAATGAACTTTGACAAGGTTATAAACGTGTAAACAATTAACAATTCGAAAAAAAAATTCATTACATACTGCTATTATTTTAATCCGTAGAATCACCTCCTAGAGTTTCCTGACGGACTTTCAGAATACCCTGTACAGGTGTAGAAAAGTCTATAGTCCCTTAAAATAGAGGCTATAATATGTAGGTGTTTAATATAAAACAATAAATAATGTAGATATTACTGTAAGGTTTTGAAAGTAACTGTCGAATAATTATTTTCCTAACAAGGGCGGAATGTGGTACCTTGTTAAATATCGAAAAATTTACTAAAGAGACTTGTTCTTTTATACTTTTTACATCCTTCTCATTCAGGTACAGTTCATAAACATCACGTACTTCTCATATATCTAGATCTGGCAGCCAATAAACTCATTTTTTTTTATTAAAAAATTCGAAGTTACTTTTAAAAGATGCTACTGTTTAACTTGACCTTTGTTAAATTGAGAAATGCCAAAAATCTGATAGTTATGGATTATTGTATAACATCCAGAATATAAAAATTCTGCTAATTTCAATAAATGTCGATAAAACATGAAAATATGAAAGACAAACCTCCGTTTATCGACAAAATATGCAAAACAAACGAAAATTTTTGCTCATGAAAAGATAATGTTATTCCAAAAGCAAAAAAAAATAAAATATACGTATTGAAAAAATTAGTAGAACAAGGGCACGCCAAGATAAGATAATAATTAATTATGCTTTCCATTCTTCAATTATTACAAATAAAAAAAAAACAAGTACTAAAAATCTGTTGCTTTTAGTATAACTATTATAAGTTTGTATTTTTAATTATCAATTTTGTTTTAATCTCGAAAAGACGTTTCCGTATGTATGTATAAAATTTTTTCATTGATTTGTAAAGTAGAATTCGTTGCAAATATTTTTGTGTATTTCATAATTCCCTGCCGGTGAATATTAAATTATTATATGAATTCCATGCAAAAGATCAAAAAGAACAACTTATCTAAAAAGTATGTATAATGAATCTTTTCAGTACTGGTATTTATAAATGTATTCCTTTGTAACCACTTGTTCTGATTCTACTAAAGTATTATTACCGGTTGAACATCATTATATACATACTTTTCTTAGTGATCTGAGCAACAGAAATATTCTGCTTTGGGGGACACAAAATATACGTTAATGAAGTACATCATTAGACCAAGAATACAAAATATATCAGATATAATTAAAAGTAATGTTAAATGAGTAACATCCACAGACCCTTTTCATTAAAATGCTGAATCATTCCTTCCCACTCTTCACTTCCGTACATACACAAACCAAGAAGTTAATATATTTCACGGTATATTTCGAGTGAGGTGAACACACAGATAAATAATGCCTTAATCTATATAATTTAATATTTAAAGTTGTTTTAAATGGGGTGTTATTTATAACAGCTTTCGCGGAAAATTGTACAAAAGGGGTGAAGAAATATTTGGACGCCTCGTCTGCAAGGGAGAACAAAACACGATGTTTATATTTAATCTGAGACTATTTATCAGAATTACACGCCGAATGGCTCTCAGCATTCTCTGAGAAAGATGGATGGCAGTGTTTGGAAAAATGAAAATATGATTCCGCATCATTTCTCTCTGACACTATTTAAAATGTTCGACTAATGATTAATTACACGATGGTAATATGCAATAAATATTCGCAGTTGTTACATACATGTGTCTCCCTCGATCTGTTTTATACAGGATGTCCGAAAAAGTCTTGAAATATTTGGAATATTTTTGCCCAGTTTCCCAGTGCATTTACGTGAACCGGCTAAAAGACTTAAATAAATAAATAGATAAATAAAATAATTTCTCAGAATGATTCAGAATCGAAGAATTCTTGAAAAAAATAACAAGTGTGCGAGATCACATCGTGATTCGTGTAAAATTCGAGTAAAACATGAGAAGAGATAAATTAAAAAATGAGCTTTTATGAATGACTGATCAATATTGACTTTACTTAAAAAATTATGTTTTCATATTGTGAAGCAATAAATGGTAAAAAATTGTCCAGCATATATCAAATATTACATATTTAAATGTCATTTCATTGTTTTTTTTTGCATGGTGAAGGAAAATGGATATGCTATGATAATCCGAAGCCTAGAAAATTATGTATTTGTTGGGAATGATGTTTTGAGTGAAAATAACGTTGAGAACGCTAATAATATATTCTATTCTAAACTTACAAAGTACATTGTATCAAATACTGTAATATCAGAATACTCGAACAATAGAATGAAAAAAAATAAACCATGGATTACAGCTGACTTAATAAATTCTATAAGATGCAGAGATAAGTTAAAAAGACAGTTAACAAAACATTACTCGCCGGAACTTTTAGCTGAGTATAAACATTTCAGAAATACGCTAACTAAACTTTTGAATTACACAAAAAATGAATACTATAAAAATCAATTAAACCAGGCTCAAAATAACTATAAAAAAACATGGGAAATAATTAAGGAAGCTACAAATTGTCTAAATAAAAAAGACGACTGTTTTAATATTATCGGTACACTGAAAAAACAATTACTTTCTATTAAAGCAATCGGTTGTTTTGAATGCAGTCAGTTTACATTTATGCTAGTTACATTAAGATGAACCAGTTACATTCAATACAAATCATTTGATTTGTTTGAATTAAAAAAAGAAACAGTTTACAACAGGTTTGTTTATAATTAACAAATTAGATTTAATATAACCATTTATGATTTTAGAATATTTGTTAGGCGAATTAAAAGAATAAATTTTTAATACAAATTTATATTGGTTTTTATTTAATAAATATTATTTTATATTGGCCCATCAAACGTTAGAATTAAACTTTAAAGGAAAATTATTCCAAATATATAATTTCTTAAATGTGAACCAGCTGGTTATAAAAGTTAAATTTTTATATAGTTTAAAACTATTATCACTTTAATATTAAAAAATATTATTTAAAAAATTACTCCAATCACGTGACCAAGTTGTGCTCTCCCCTGGCAGTCGTATCTTTGCCATCATGGCGGCTATGTATGCAAGGTGGCTGTAGTGTATTGTGTAGTTCAGTAGGCTAGTATGGACTATATTAAAAAGGTAGTGTTTCTTGTTGTTCTTAGATCATATTCATAATATAACATGTGCATATAGTTACAGAGTGGTGTGTTCCGATTGCTCGTAATTAAACTGGATGCAGAAANACCATAACTAATGTGTTATTAATACCAAATTTCAGTTCAATATATGTTGGTCTTTTAGAGATATTAAGAAAAATTCTTAAAAAAAGTTTGTTTTCAACACCCTATATATCACAAACGAAGCGTTCTACGACCTACGTTTATAGGAACTTTTCTTATTAAAAAATGATTCTCTATCAACTGTTAAAATCCTACTACAAAAAATTGACTCACCCTGTATAATATGTGTATAAGTTTATATAATTCATAATATTTTAATGTCTAGCATTTACTCCTGTTTTATGACCCATTACTTATAAAACACGTTCCATAATAAATGAACAATAACACTACATGTGGATACTATGCTTTACATCAGCGATTAAAACGAGACAACGCAAAACTTGATCGATAATACTCACATATTAAATCCAAGACAACCATGGCCTCCTTCGGCTCGGTGAGCTTAGTATTAACTGCCTGGCAAATAAACAGCGCGTCCAGGTCCTTCCTGCCCACCGAGGGCCAAACTAATCTATTTTCTATTACGTCGCCGGCATTATGCTCGTACTGATCATCGACAATCTGCCCATTCACCAGCCACCGCACCAGGGGCTGCGGGTGGCCGCCCACTGTCCTGCAGGTCAGAGTGATGTCGTCCCCTTCCTCGTGGGGGCCTACTGTCCCGTTCAGCTGCCGCCCCCACTTGTCCAGAATGGTCGGCTGTTCGGGAGGCACTGCAAGAAGGAAACAACGGTCAATATCTGGAAGTCAATGTAGAGGGGCAGGAACTTATTATTACAATATTATGTGTAGGTAGTGTCAAGGACACTACTTCCGATCCTCAATTATGATCGGGAATGCATACAAAAATTATGATTTTCGCGTTTTTTCCGAATTTTTCGACTTTCGTTTGTAATTGTCCCAAATTTTTTTTCCTGAAAACTTTTCGAATACCATAACGAACAAAACAAAATAAGAATTACGCATATCCATCGTTCGTATCATGAGTTATGGTCTTGAGTTCAAAAGAAATCTCTTAGAAAAAAGCATTTTCAGTTTTTTCCGAATTTATTCCAATTTTTCTTCCCCTAAAAACCTTATCCGGACTATTACTAACATTAAAAAATAGCCAAATCGATTCAGTCGTTCTCAAGTGATGCATTTACCAACGAACAGCATTAAACTTTTATTTATATACAGTGTGTTTCACTTAAAGTCGGAACATCTCCATATTTAGGATGGCGTTGGCCGATTTCCAAAATTCTTTTTTTTTTTATGTGATAGTACTCAAAAAGACCTACTTTTTGATATTATATTTTTTGACATGTGATCTTTTCTGCAGCCTAAGAAAAGACTCTCAAAAATTTAAAAACATAATAGGCATATTTTTAAGAAAGAAATGGATAATAGCTATTTTCGATTTCAAACACCTCAAAACCTGAAATACAAAGTTTCATTGTTATGGCTTTTCAAGCGTGCTCACAAAATAGGTGCTAACTTCGAAAAATTTCACTCATTGCAGTGTCCTGTATTAACAGTGGAAAATATTTTTAAAGTATTTTTTCATAATTTTAATTAATTTTTCCATGCAGTTTCATTGATTTCACTCATACAGGGTGCTCACAAGAAGACATCCAAGTTATACAGCGTGTCCAACTAGTGCGGAAAAGTCCAATATCTATGTTAAAATGAGGAATATATGGAATTTTCTTTTACTGTATTGCCACATTTCTCGGAATGTACAAATTAAAAATATATTCAACTATACAGGGTGTTCCACTTTTCCTGGACAGATACCAACTTTGGTTTTATTAATGGAAACACATTTTTTATATTTTTTTCGGATTCTACATCAAAAATAAAGGGTACTTTGTGTAGAATAGTTCTATTCAAATATTCACAGTTTTTGAGATATCTCGCTTGAAAGGTTTTTCTAGTCGATATTGGTTGCTTACATTTTCTGATACTGACAGGTTATACTAATAGCTACTAAGCCCATTTTTTATCAAATGTTTAGTAAGGATGACTCTTCCGAATCATGC